TTGATAAAATTTTTCATACAATTTCATCACATCATCATTTACTCACCGAATCATCCAAATGATCAGAACTAAATAGTATATTAGATATCATTATATAGATATATAAATTTTCCAGTATGTTTAAATAAAAAAATATAAAACTCACGGATCACCAAGAGTTGCCTGTAGAGACTTAACTCGATCTTTCAATTCATTCTTCTGCATTAGAAGTTGTTGGATATACTCCACAGCTAAAAACAAATTTATAAAGAAATTCATAAATTCTCGAGTAGTGCATCTTTTAAAATCATGGATTGAAATTATAACCAAAAAAATGTTTACATTTTTGTAAGATCAATGCCTCACTCCTATGACATTGACTAAGAGTAGGCACAATTTCGACTAGTTGATCGAAACCCAAACGTATGTTTTGTCGCCTTTTTTGTTCTGATGCAATATGATTCGCCTTTTTCTCGGCTTCAGTTAAAAGTTCATGATGCCCTTTCTTTCCCCTTCGATTTGGTGTTGGTGTTGATGGTGGTTGATTATTATTCGATTCAGACGTTAATAATATCTTCGGGGATCCAGGTGCTGAAGAAGTTGATGCACCATTTATTCCTGCTGAAGACAACGTTTGTTGGTGTGTAGTCGACGATGCTGAATTACTGCCTTCTTCCGACTTTGCATCTAATGATGTTGCAGTTGAATCACTTTTAATTGATTTTCGTCGAGAAGGAGTTCGCTTTAAAGGCTGCTTAGGAATCGAATTTGATTGTGGTGAAGGAGAACGTTGTCTCCGACTTATGTTCATAGGCTCCGTTTTGATGTATAAAGCAGATGACTGATTGCCGGTGATTGATTTGGACTTCCCAACATTATGCATTACCCCATTATTCAAAGGTTGTATTTGATGAGATAAAGGGTATGATGGTTGTACAAAGGTATTATGAACATGGAGAGCTTGTTGAAAATTCGGAGGTTGTGAATAGCCGTTATTGGCTGGTATGGTGATAGGATCAGAGCCGACAGGTTGATATATATACCCACCGGCTCCGGGATATCCAGCGCCTGCTTCAAAATTCTGACTAAACCCTGGTGGAAACCCTCTAGATGTCGGTACCGAGGACTGAGGCCCTGCGTCTTTAATTCCAATTATTTTTTTTTCGAATATATTAATTACTTATGAATCTTCAACAATGATAAGCCACTTCAAAATAATGAAATTAGCTACCTGGAAACGGAATAGAAGACGGCGTGAGGTCCATCATATTGCTCGGGAGCTCTTCGGTTGCAATCGTGTTTAAGAAATCAGCAAGATATTTCTGATCGATTTTAGAAGTGGCATGTAATGAGTATATTATGTATATGATTACACAAAGTTCAAAAAGTCTGACAGCTTTAGACAAGACTGGATCAGTAAGTAATTTTCGTAATTTTTGTCACAATGACGCAATTCTTTATAAACTCGACTGGGAAGTACATACGTTTTCTTGTTCGTTGAGAAGACCATCGTGTTGCATTTCAGTCGAGTATCTGAGTACACTCTCAGATTTCGTTTGAAAAGACATTGTTCACAGACAATGAGTTAGAGAATTAATGAATATAAACTATCTCGGCAATAAGAATGACGGTTAAATTTTGACTTATATATTTAATAACGATAAGTTTCGTTGGTTGTCATATGAGTTTATCTTTCTCATTTTAAATTATCACAGTGATAGTCAAGGGTTTGCCCCAAAATTTTGACTAAAACGCAGATCATACGGACATATAACGATAGTGCTGGCCGATTTTTTTTTGATTATGCTACTATATGTATAGAATTAAACCGGTGGTCTCAAATCAGACAAAAACAAAACCAGCAAAAAAAGAAAAACAAAAAAATATAAGAAACGGTAGTCTAAACCTATCTTGGTGCATTATGTCGGAAGAGAATTTTATATTTGGAATTAAGTTGATAAAAATTAAGAGATACGTAGTTCGCCTTTCATATAAAAGTATTTTTTATTATTATTTGACTTAATAATAAAAGTTGTTTTTCTGAATTAAAATCGGTTGTGTTAAGATTCCATTTACTATATAAGGTAACTAGTAATGCCCGCCGATTTTTACTATAAAATTTATAAAAAATTAGACTTGAGTTCTAATAGCAATAACTAAAATTATTTTGTTAGGAAGCTGACACTTATTACGTAAATCTAACTCCTCAGAGTCAGTTATTTGACACAATTGCTGGAACTTGTTATTGTCAAATAGCTGATGCTAAATAGAAGTTATATTTATAAAATAAGTCTTAGTTTTCTTAGTAAAATAATTATTAATAAAATAAATTATTAGTAAACTAAACTATTAACAAATTAAACTATTTTGTTAAAAAAATTATAAGATTTAAAAAATTATATTTTAAAAAAGACAATTTCTATTTGTACTTGGGGTGTATATACATAGACAATATAAATATCTTAAAATTTTAATTATAAAACTATCTTTTGTCTTTTAACAAAAACAATTTTTTATAAAATTTTGGTATAAGTTATATTTTGTCTAATTCCAAACTCTAACTATAAGTGAAGGTTTACTTTTTTTATTTGTAAAAATTGGTTTGATTAATATTGTAATATGCTTGATTGGCTTAACCAAATAATAAATATTTTAATAATAAAATGTATTGTTGTTAGTTAAGTCAAACAAATTTAATATATAAGAGTAGTTAAGGACAAGAAAAACTAAAGAAAAGTCTAAAATAAAACTAAAATAACTAAACAAAAATTAAAAATAATAAAATTTACTTAAGTATAAATTAAAAATATCAATAATTTTATAATAAAAATACAATAAAACTATTATAAAAATATTAAAAAACATAATATAACAGTTTATTATTAAAAAAATATAAAATAATAAGGTTTTATTACAAGAAATAATTAAATAAAAGAGTCAAATATATTTAAAAACAATATAAATATTCAAAAAAGGTGTAAAGTACAGTATATATTGATATTTCTTTGCTTTGAAGGAAAAAATAGTGATTAAATATCTTTTAATAATATTATATTTTTATATACAATAATAATGTTATATAATAATACTATAAAATAATGCTATATAATAATGCTATAAAATAATGCTATAAAATAACATAATAGTATTACATTCTATCAACAACAACTCTTCTCGACGATCACTTATACCAACCTAATACCGAAAGCAAGTTGAAGATTCAAGCCTAGAAGTCGACAACAACTTGAAGTTTTCT